TAAGCTTTTTGGCTTTTCTTAATAAATAGTCCACATTGTTTACCTTTATGGTATACAAGTGATCATGATCATTCTTAACAAGGTCATGATTATAATCACAAGGTTTTCAGTACGATCTAAGATCGTTCAACTAGACATTTCTTATTTTCTTACGTGTCATCAGACGGTTATCAGTTTTCTCAGCAAAATATAGTTTCCATCGACGTATTCATCATACAATGAAACTAACTAAAGCATATCAACAGTTATTCTGTATTCTTAGCATATTATCAATGTTAAAAGATTTGAAAAATTACTCACAATTCCCTTGCAAATTAATTTTAGTAATGGAAAACATTCGTTACTTGAAAAAAATTTACATAAGTCCAAGGAGACAAATATTTGACAAAAAAAGACTCTTAAATTAATTAGAAGTTGTCTATCATATACGATTTTTTAGCAAACAAATCTGAAAAGATTGTTAATATTATTAGTGTTGATATTACTGTTCATTCGTGCAGAAATGATTATTAATCACTATAATGTGAAATATATTAGAAAAAATATTAAATTAAAATTAGGCATAAAATTCTATCGTTACTTTGGTTTAATTTTGCGCTATACTATAATTTTTGTGTTAATCGGTATTTTTTGTATAAGTTTGAAGTTAACACATAGTAAATATAAAAATGCCCGAAGAACACCAGCTATTCACAAATTGAATCAGAGAGTACGTATCCTCTGCATGATCATGACAACAGGCTATCGTCACAATTTAGAAGCGGCACGTATTTATCGCACATGGACTCAACGTTGTGATAAGACTTTGTTTATGAGTGACGACTTCCATGATGAAATACAACCAGTTATCATTAGCAAGAACGAAGAATGGGGTAAACTTAAGGAAAGCCTCACTTTTGTCTACAATTATCACTACCATAATGCTGATTGGTTTCTAAGAGCCGCTGATGATAAGTAGGCATATCAATGGAATTACAATTAAATTATTATTAGATACGGTTTCATAATACTTAGGTGTAAATAACAAATTGAAACAGTTTTAAAAGATAATCTGTAGTTTATAACATAGATATTAAATGGTTATTTTAAAAATTGATATTAACAGTAAAATATGATTTAGTAAAAGTGAAGAGAAAGGAACATCAATTTCTATTCAATTGGCTAAGAAAGCTGTTTTCCTTCCATATTCCTTGTAAATATGGATAGAAGGTTATGCATTGTAAAATCACTTATAAATGAAAGTATAATATGAGTAAGAAATATGATTGAGTGATTTAAGATATGGGGCGCACAAAATCTTACGCCTTGATTTAGATGAGTCTGGAAGCAAACACAACAGATATTCGCGAAAAGTTCAAACAACTAAGAAGTATACAAAGAACATATATGGAAATGCTGTTAATTTTGTTCTAAATAAAAAAACTTTTTTAAATAGCTAATTATATTTTTCGCTTAATAATTTATTAAATATTTGCTTTTTATTTTAGTTTTGTTATTCTTGAAAATCTGCGTTATTTGCTCTACCCGTACTCCAACAAAACACCAATATATTTTGGCTATAAACTGAAAAATAAAGATGGAGAAGCCTATATGAGCAGCAGTGCTGGATACGTACTGAGCAAAGAAGCTTTGCGAAGATTTGTTAAATCAGCCTTACCAAACACTGAAATTTGTACTCCAGGAGCAAATGGCAAAGAAAGTGAGGAATTAGCCAGATGTTTAAAAAATGTAGGAGTGCTTGCAGGCGACAGTCGTGCAGAAGATGGTAGCAATACGTTCTTTCCTTTCTCATTAAGCGATTATTTGAAAGGACTAAAGCCAGAGGATCATAAATTCCTTTACGAAAATTCATTTTACGCTATGAGAAATGTAAGTTGCAGATCTTGTATGAAGTTAGCAAAATTTAAAATTGTTCTCCACTCTTTCAGAAATCATTTCCGCTCTCAAAAAAGATGATATCATTTAGCAATGTACATCGAGATGACTTATATACACTTGAATATTTCATATATAATATGAGAGTATTCGGTCAAAAACGACTACCAGCACAATTACCAATAATTGAAAATCCTGTAGAAATAAAATAAAGAAATCTTTACAAAAATTGTAGAAACAGTTTAAAATTTTAACTTACTTCATGTTATTATGTTAAAAAAATTATTCATAGCCGTTTGGTTGATATAACCAAAATTCCATTTCATGTTTTTATTTCCAAAATCACAAACATTAACATAAGCACGCTTCTCAAGCAGATTTGCTTCCAAACAACGTCGTTCTGTTTCTCCAGTGCCTTGCACCAACATCTGTGTTTGACGATCGTAATACCAAAATTGATTAACACCTTGATTATGACAAGACCATAACCAGAGAGGAGAGTTTTTCGACCAACTTTGCACTTCCAAGCAAGCATCATGTTGACGTAACTCACGTCGAAAACTTAAATGCCAACGTTGACTCGCGTAAGGATATTTTAAGTCTGGTGAACATAAAGTTAAGTTGCCCACTTCGTTACGTTCAACTCTTCCCAGAGTATCTAAACACAGTTCTGGTGCAGCTACACTCTGTAAGGCACCTTTTGCAAAATCAATCGGCTCTATAGGTGGATAAGCTTGTATTAAATCAGGTGCTATAGTTTGAAGAAACCATTTAAAACTTTTACAATTCAAACGTGCGCGTAAAGCTTTCCTTGCACTCACATCACTAACAGAAATTTGATTTAACTTCGGTACATGTTCATAGAGAAAATCCTTATACTCATCCAACCAAACCTCAGCAACTCTTTTATAGTTCTAAAGTCACAAGAACGGTGAAAAACTAAATTCAAATAGATAACTTTTTCTTTTAACTTACCTTACTAATAAAGTCTTCAGTTGTATTGATATAATTGACTCGATACTCTGGATCCCTGTAGAGATGACCAACATGCGAACAAGGCACTTCTAATATGCTACCACCACATAACCAAATTTTAAAGCTTAGCTCAAATTGTTCTGCACCCCAAATTAATAGATTCTCATCATAAACACCTAAGTACCAAAAAAATTCAGCAGCTATAGCAAATAGTCCTCCATTCATTACTGGATTATTATGTGGTTCTGGCAGTTTTAATTCTTCCGCTGATAGCAAAGGTAATTGCACATAATTAAACTGTCAATTAAATCCTCCTCTAGAGGCAGTGCCTGGTACATATGCAAATGTATCATATTTAATTGTATCTATGATAGGAGTTGTACATGTTTTATGATTAAATACAATAGGCTCTAGTAAAGGTGGTAGCCAATTATGTGTAGCTTCTATGTGAGCATCTAAAAATACTAGTACTTCTCCATTTGCTTGACGTGCCCCAAATATACGTGCACGTATAAGACCCACACGTTCGGTTAAATGTAATACTTTTAGTTTTGAATCAAAATTTTGTTTTAGATATTTGTCCAAGTTTTTATTGTACATGGGGGTACTAAAATCATCTACCAATATTATCTCTTCTAGTAGTTCAGGTGGTGT